TTTGGTTCCAACCTTACAAACGTTTGAGGTAAGCCTTTTAATTACCATTCAGTTTGTGCCATTTGATTTTTGGGTTCCGTAGTTAGTATGCGAATGGTAAATTGTGTGGCAGGATGAAAACGATAAGTCAGTACAATGTCTATTCAAACCAGCTCTATGCCTATAGGCCCTGCCAACACGAATCTCTTTAAGCTTGTTGCCACTAATGGAATGGTAACTACCGAGAAGGTGGTCTAACACTTTTAACTCAAATGTGACTTCGAGATGCACGTATTCAGGATAGGCACTGGCTTCTTGACCACTAAAAGCGCCAGTTACTAAGTTCCAGCTGAGTTAAGCTCACGAGTTATTCAAATACGTCCTCAGGTAACACACATTCGTTGTGTTGTTATGGTTGCTCTGCCGAAACCGACCCGAACGATCTCTTTAGCTTTGAGTGGAAAGTGTGAGAGGGAGAGTTTATAGCGCGCGACGATTTCTGTTCCTACCACACAGGCGAAGCGACTCCTCGGCATTTGAGCACGTTTTCATCGGTGAAGCAAAAAACACAATGGTCATCGGATTCCATAACTGGATCACATTTTGCACTAAGGAACACAACAAGGAGGTCAATTATTTCGGCCACGCCACCCCGGTAAGCTTACAAGTCATCGCTGCGGAAGCCCAAATGCTTTGATTTTAACTTTCGATAAAGTGGAAATGTATTTTTTTTTCATGGTAGCCAGTTGTTAAAGCAAGTCGTTTGACAACACTGCAACGTGGTGATGAAACGCAGTGTCGATATAACTGGGCAGTCTCAGCATCCACATGTAGGTGGTTTTTGGCAAGCAGAGGAATGCTAAATACACCGGATCAGCACTTTGATTGACACTTTAATGCAAACGGTCAGGCAAATACGAGTTTGCACTTGAGTAGGGAACTGCTCATGGAATACACTTGCTAATTCCTAAATTAAATCTGGCTCAGGTGTTTAAAAGCAGTTTCTCTGCTGCACGAATTTCAAACCTGACAATAGGCTTTTTCTTGATGTCATAGAAACGTTGGGATCCTGAATTCAAACGAGCTCTTCGTTTCTCACTGTACAACTCCTTCAGGAAGCCCTTCGGTACAATTGTCTTTGGTTCGTCAATAGAATTTGAAATCGGCCTTTACACGACAGCCTTCCTAAGGTCACGTAGCCTCTTCAAAGGTAGCACAAGTTGGCCAGCCATCTCCCTTAACTTGGGCCCCACGAACATCCTCATCCAGTGCCACCCGCACTACGGCAACCACATGGGATCGTGCTACGTCAAATGAGTCAGCGCCTTGCTTCAGTCCCCGTGAACTGATTATGCACACTCCCAATAGCCTTTTCTGACCCTCTAATTCCTTCATACAACTTCAGATTTCTTATTGCAGTCCAACGTAATCTCAACTACTGTGTCTTGTCAGTAATGCGTAAAATGTGACGACATCGGGGGGAGAGGGAGACCATTAGAGCCCCTTACATGAGGGCGGTTGAATTGTCAATTCAGTGTCGCCCATCAGATGGCAGACAGTGTCTCCTGTTAGGTGTGTAGTAAAAATCTAATCTGTGTTAATTCTGGCACTGCCCATGCGACGTGTAAACTACAAGTCGGCTAGTTCAATAACAGTGTCAGTTAGTGATATAGTTGGAATATCGAGAGTCGGCAAATGTGTACCTGCCATAAGTGGAAAGCAGACAAAGGATTGATTCCACGACATGGGTACGGGCATCAGAACAGACATCAAGGTCAGGCCAGCTTGTACCGTCGAGAGTGCGTGCCCACATTCATGGGTGTGCTTTGCCAGAAGCAAAGTGACGACTACGGAGTAGCGAACTAACGAACAGAGCTTTTCACAGAACATAAATCAATCGTATTTATTGGTTGCTTCTGTAGAGGGCCCCGGTGCGGTTTTGGAAACCACACCAGGGCAGATAATCTGCGTTGACACGCCCCTACTGAAAGAATAACGGAAATGCAGGTGGCGCGTAGCTCAACCAATTTACTGATACAGAAGCGGTGTGTCTTGAACAGCATAGTAGGTGAGTTTATGTAGCTCTGGTAAGCATCGATCTCTACACGAGTAGAGTTGCGTGAATCGTTTTCGCTCACGACTGCTAACTGTGCTCGCTTGCTGTTCGCCACAGTTCTTCACTGACTCACACGGCTGCCTGTTCTGCTCGCATTCCCCAGCACCACGTGGCTGTATTTCACTGTGTGACTTTTATTGTGAGCATATCGAAAGCGTTGACGCACTGACAGATACCATAATTTCGAAAATATGCGACTTTGGCCTAACTAACGATGCGTTCCTCAGGCTGTTCCGTCCATTCAAAATGGATTTCATTTCATTTTTTGACCTTAGGCGGTGATTGCGTTTCGTCCAAAGTTATCTACCATATAAGGAAAAAAATCAGTTATTCTACCCGGAGGCTATAGTCGTGATGGCTTAGGCTGAAGGCACAACCAACTTTGCTAGTCAAGTGTCGAATGGTTTACTTTATTTGCCTTGGAAGTACGCTGAAGGTGGAACCATTGCCGTGATGATTGCTGAAGCCTTTCCGAATATCTGCTACTTTGGTGTGGATTGGCTCAGGTTCTTCATCACTCTGTATCCGTCAGTTTAGGGCATCTGCGCAATGCTTCATAATGACACCCAACAGGGCTCATATAATCCAGTCGTGTCATCTGCACTGGTGCCTTTCTTCTAATCGCACCGAAATATTCGTCTGTGGTTGACATACATTCGTGCCATGCATGCTTCATACATTGGACATGCAAATGTTCTCTTCCGTGGTTTGTGAAAAATAATTCTTGGTTATTTTTTCTACCGTCGCTTGCATCCCAACCGTGTTGTAAGCGCATATTCATGGGCGCGAATAAAGTGCCACGTGCCGGAAGCTGTCAGCTGTGCAGGTGATGAGGTGAACGTCGCATGTTCAGCACTCGAGCACCGCCGAATTCATGAGTTTGCTCTGGTCACGTCAGACGACGCATCGAAGTCACCAATAAACTGAAGGCTGAACATTGATGTGGTACGTGTGTTCGCACCAGATGATGCGTGTGAAGATTATGTGAGATGGTGCAGAATACGCTGGGCGTTGCTTCACTTCATGGTACTTTAGGTTTAATCGCACACTTTGTCCACAGTTGGACGTCAGAGAAATAACTTTAACACCGTGAACTATGTATTCTGAAATTTGTCAGTGTGTGCTTAGTTGTCGTTCAAGTTACACTTTCGAAGTGCCAATAACAGGCACAAGGCAGTTCAGATCGGATCTTGATAATTTGGCAGTGTCAATAAGCAACTGCACGCAGTGAATCACTTTCGTTCTGTCTGACATTTGATGTCAGCACTTTCAAGCCGAACTCGCAATTTCAGCCACTAGTTCAATCACAACGAATAAGCCCACATAGTATTCATAAAAGGTGGTTCTTTACGTATTCTAGTGTGGCTAATTCATCTCAGATAATCCGAATTAACTCATCAACACGCCAAGGGTAAATCACAAGTACCTAGGCATGTAGGAAGGCCGGTACTTTGTGTATTAATCCAGGTGGTTCTGCGAGGAAATTATTTCTATTGGTTTGAGGTAAATATGTAGCCGATAGAGTCATAAGGAGT